TGGCCCTCTTGAGACACCGCCGCGCCGCAGCATGCTGGAGCTCCAATGTCAATCCCGACCCCCCTCTTGCCGCATAAGCCCCCATCCACCAGTGACCAATGTACCACCTGACTGGCAAATCTCCTTTCATTGAATTGTGCCCTCTCCAAACTAGTCATAAGGCCTCTCAAACCACCCTCTCACCCTTGTATTCACCCTTCCACTCACCCTTCCATTCACGCTCCCATTCACTCTCTCATTTCTCTCCCATTCACTCTCCCCATGTTTCCAAGGAGCAGCTCGCACACTGTCTTCCAGCCTATCAGTCTTTCACCAAAGGAAAGCAAGCGCCCCATTGCCCTCTTGGGTCCCAAGCTGGGACTCCCAAGTGGCCACCAGTCAGCTCCATGCATACTCATCATCTCCATGCATATGTCCGCGTCTGATTCTTAAAAGCAGCTCCATGCAAAATTAACTCCATGCATGTCTGTTGGCAACTATGCTAAACGCGAAACTCCCCCACTCAGCTCGCGTGCTGATCGCCCTGAATGTTAAACGTCTTTTTTAGCCCCCTCGCAAGCCGCCCTAGCCCAGCCAATCCCGATGCCCGACCCACACTCCCTCCGCTGCTCGCCCTCCCATGATCACCATGCAGGTCAGACGGCGACCGGGTATACTCCGGCCGTTTCCTCTCAAACACTGACGTTGTCGGGCCCTTGGGTTTCCTCGCCCCCATGCTGCCCGCCTGCGATCCGTACACCGCTGACGCGGCGCGCGGCGATTGGTCGATCCCGGACCTCCGCCCGTCCTTGCTCTTCTTGTCGTCGTCGTCGCCGCTGCTGCTGCTTTCTTCGCCAGTCTTGCTGGGGGCTACTCTAACGCCCACTGCCGCTAGCTGGGACGCAATCTCGTCCTCCCAGGATAAACCTGAGGGGGCTCGGGCTTGAATATGCCCTTTGATCTTCTCCCTCCCTTTCCTCTCGCCCCCTTCTTTTGCAGCTTCACCTTCTTTTTGCGACTCCGAACCCTCTTGTGACCCTGCTTCCGCCCCTTCCCCTCCTCCTCCTCCCCCTTTTGCACCTCCTATGTCGTGTTTCCGGCTCTTGAGGTCTACTGCTGACCCGCTGCCGCCCCGTGCGATCATCACACTATGAGTACCGTCCTTCTTCCGACTTACTATCCCTGTCATTGCCCCTGACTTTCTCGTGCTGCTGCTGCTGGTGCTGGTGGTACTACTCTCTCTCGCGCTCCCATCTCTCGCACTCTCCTTCGCGCTGCTGCTCTTGCTACTCCGCCCCTCCCCCTTCCCCCCTCGAGACCCCGGCCGCTCCCCCCGCTCCCCCTTCCCCCCGTCCCCCTTGCTCCCCTCCCCTTTACTCCCCACAACCGCGATCCCCACAACCCCCCCAGCGGCTGCGCATCGTTTCAGCTCCCCAAACCCCACCTCCCAGTTGTTACTGCTCTCCGCAGAAACCCTCGTTAACTGTACGGACCACGTGCTCCGGCTCCTCATTGCCGCATACTCTGACGTTATCCCTATAGACGCATCGAACATGAGGTTCAGCCCCGCTTGTAGCACACTCCCTGGCCCCTCGGGTGCTCCCATTTGGGAAAAGTCCATGGATAGGGATGGGCTCATGCGGCCTTGTAAACCCGAGAGCCATAGGGATCCGTCGGAAATCCCCCCGCCGCCCCACCCGAACCTCGGGCTTGGCGGGTCGTTCAGGCCTGAGTCGGATGACGACGAGAGCCGCCGCCCCTTGGCTGCTTTCGCTGACGCTGCGGCAACTGCTAACGCGGACGCCCCGCGTTTCGTTTTTTGCTGCTTCGATGACTTTGGGTCAGGCACGGACGGGGTGAGGGCTTCACTAAGGTATGGGTACGCGCCATGCCAGGCATCCGTAGGGTTCTTTAACCGCCATAGCTCTCTTGAAAACCGCTGCGAGACTGAAACTGGCGGCGCTGCTTTCCCCCCCGCTGCTCCGCCTGCTCCCGCTCCCCCCCCTTTCCTTCCCTTTCCTGCTAACGGCGGCAGACCTCCGCGCCTCCCCCCTCCGCCTCCCCCTTCTCTCCCCGCGCCCGCCGCCGCCGCCGCCGCTGCTGCCATCGCTTCCTTGTGCTCAGTCGAGAACACGAAATCGTCATCCTCGTCGAATTCTTCTAACGCCTTCTGTAGTCTCGTTTTTCCCTCCGGCTTAATATACTCCGGTTCTTGATCCTCCTTAGTTAAGAACTTCTTAGGCGCGCCGGGGTACAGGTATAGCACGACGCGCGGCGGAACGGCACCCTTGTTGGCGGAAACTACCGCCTGGAGCTTCCGCTCGAGGCGCTGGTGCGCGGAGAAGGAGAGCACCCCCCCACGCTCGTGCGCGCGGAAGTCTTCCAGGAGATTTTCCAGGTGGTATCGCGCCTGGGAGCGGCCCAGACACTCGTGCGCCGCTAGCGTGCAGATGGTGTCTTTATGGACTAGGAATATCAGCATCACCTGATCCCAGCTCTGCGGGGAATAGGGAGGAAATGAAAGGAGGGAGGAAGACGGGAAAAGGGGGAGAATGGGGAAGGGAGGAAGGAAGGGGAAGGGAGGAGGAGCTAGGTCACTCGTGTGCTTGTGCAGGAGCAATATTGACCACTTCTGACTTTGTGAGGTGTCCCGAAGACACCTTGACGAACTTACCAGACTGACAAATAAGTCAATAAGGGTCAACCGGCAAAATAAATAAAAACTTGTTACGTTAACGACGTCAGAGGTGGTGGCAAGATAAAAGGGAGTCCGACAACCTCAGGATGACCCGCAAGACCGAAGCTTTAATCTTCTCCAAAGCTACAACCTATTAGCATCTACCAGGGAAAATTAAGTTCCGGGAACAGCAAACTCTTGCAGAAATACGAGCTAGAAAGCATTAACCCACCAATGCGTCTATCAGTGAACATACCAACGAACCTATCAGCGAACCTACCAATGAGAACCATCGCGCGTGCTTCGGAACCTTCTGCGCCGCTTCAAGGAGGAAATCGTCGAATTCCCCTTTCAGGGGACTGTATGATATGAGGACATCGGTACCTCTAGATATCCCCAGGCCCAGAATAAGCTCCTGTTCATTACGCGTCGACATGAAACCCTAACTCGAGCCTGCTTGGAGACGTGTCAGAGCACGACTACTGCTCGCTTCGACATGAAACCCTAGTTCGCACGGACTGGAAGATGGGTGAGAGTGCTAGAGCTTGCCGGGAGCGAGGCTGCATGGAAGTGTTAATGCTGCGAGGTCCGATGCGGTTGAGACTGGTGGAATAAGGGAAAGCCAAGCCATCTTCTCGGTATTGAACAGAGCAGGTGTAGGCGTATCTCGGACATTGCTGTAACAGTAAGCTTAAAGAGAGAAATGGAGGTACGCAAGGTTCGAAACCCTGATGCTCGATGAGTAAACGCGAAGCAACGAGGTCGGTAAAAGAGCCACTAACTTTCAAATGGTGACGCGAGGTGAAGCTGAGTTTCGCAGTCAAGAAAGAAACACCTTAGCGGCTAGAGTGAGAAGAAAATCAAGTTGAATAATTTTTAGACAGAAACAAGGAAGGCTGCGAAAATGGAGAAGCATAGGATACTGTAACTGAAACAATCAACATTTTCTTCAGGCAGCCATGGATGGTTAGCACAAGATACTCCTTCTGAGAGCTGAAATAGGGTTGGTTGGGGGAGGATGATGTTTGACCAACCAACCACCAAACTAATCCCTAGAGTCGCGACAGCAGCAACGAGAACTAAGTGATAAAGTAACACTTCGTGACGAACGATGCTTTTTCTGCGTTTGGCGACACTAGCTCGGAGCTGGTTGGTGGGATGGAACATCAAACCAATTGCGGTGGACCATCGTGCGAGCTTGCGACTTGGAGGTTCGCGGCATACATGACCTGGTTCTCCTATTCGTCAAAAGTCCCCAGCGGCGAAGGCCCTCGCGGAATGTGTGTGACTTCGTCAGGCTGAAAACACCAGTTGGAAAGCGCGGGATCGCCAAGGAATTGGCAGAATTGGCCGCTGGGGCTGGCTGTTCGCAATTTCGAGGGCATGTTACCACTACCACCTCCATTTCGTCAAAGTTTGCAACTTCGAGGCTGCACCTTCGAAAGTGGAGCTTCGAGAGTCTCGCCTACTGGCTGAATCTGCTCCCCCCCTCCACTTCCCCCCACAGAGCCTGTCCCGTCCAGTAGAGTACAACCAGCAGCATTCTAGGAAGCGGAATGAGCGAAACCGGCTGCCATCCGTTCTTCCTTCATCCCCCCTTCATGGAATTATTTTCTCCACGGGTCTGCAGATGGGCGTTGACCTTTTCAAGGGCTCTGCGTTTTTAGTTGACCGGTTAGAAGGTGACGAGCCTGCTTGTAGACAAGAAGGCTCAGAAGCAGTCAACGTCAAATATTCTGTTCACATAGTACCTTGCGGTCTCCGGGGACCCGATTACAGCCTAGTGTTGCTAGACGAGAAACCGACTTTCCAGGATGACGCGACTGTTCCTCGCAAGCAGAGCGAGAGTGACGGACGTAGAACGAGATGAAGGTCAAATCAAATCACCTCACAACTTCAAACAGTTTCTGATTCACGTGACAGATCGTGACGGGACGGAACGCCATGATGCGTGGGGTCTCGCAGCTAGATTTCCCCAGATTTTGAGCATTTTCTGCTTCACCTGACGGATGACGTGACGAGACGCCATGATGCGTGCAGATCCGCCATGGCGTCCCGTCACGTAGAACTCTGTAACCAGATTTTTCCGGATCAAGATGAAGTGACCGCCGCCGCGCGGTTCTGCTTGTCAAATCTATCTTTGCTGCTGCGGAGCCGCGTTATGAAGATGTTCGAAAGCGAAACTCTGCGAATCTGGAATGGGTCTCGATTACAAATTGACAAACTCGGTCCTCATTTAGTTCATACTAACTCAGCTGGCTTTGAAACCAAAGAGCAAGCTGCATAAGCCTGGCATTCCAGCTTAACATCATTAAGATTAAGTTCTTGGTTCAGAGAATCCGCCATGGCTAACGCTCCATCGTCCAACCTGCCTCTGCGCCTCGCCTGGCTGTTTTCGGCGGTTGCTTTCACTCTGGTTCTCTCAGGTAAGCTCATTCAATTCACAACTAACCATTTTATCGGCCATAACACGGTACATTAAAATTGTACATAGTACCTTGTTAAAACCCGAGGTCCATAGGTTTCAAGGGTAGGAAGGTTGGTTGGACCTGGTGCCCCAACCAAAGGTAGGAAGTTTGGTTGGACCTGGTGACCCAACCAAAGGTAGGAAGGTTGAGGCAACTTTGGGGAACTTGTGACGCCGGTTTTAACCGATTTGTCCAATAGCCTTCCGCCTGCCACTCTCATACACCATTGATCTAAATTCTCATCGTGTGCTACCTTTCCTTGCCTGCGTCTGAGTCACCTATACTTTCCCATCCCTTGCATGCATCCCTCCCATCCGTCCCATCCCTCCATCCCCCCCACCCCTCGCATTCGTCTCTGGCAGGGACATCTCTGGCCGTGGCATCTCATGACAAGCCTGTGGGGGCAGTTGGGACGACAAGTAACCGCAGAGACCGAACACGCCATGAGGACCCCGGCGCTCGTTTTCAGGCATCGCAGCCTGCTCAGCTCCACCTCACCACAGCCCTTGCCTGTTGAACCTCTCGCCTCTCTGCCAACTGCCACCAGCCTGCTGAGCTCCACCCCACCACAGCCCTTGCCCGTTGACCCTCTTGACTCTCTGCAGACTCCCACCAGCTTTGGTGGCGGTGGAGAGATGAGCCCTCCTCCCCCACCCCCACCCCCACCCCCACCCCCACCCCCACCTTCTACTCCTTCCGGGGGAGGCTGTGACTGTGGCTGTTGCTGTGACTGTGGCAGTGGCAATGGTGGTGGGGATGGGTCCAACGGCGGGGACAATGGCAATGGCGATGGCAGTGGCGTCGGTGGCATCTGGTCGCAGGTGGCCTCGTGGTTCCACATTCTAGGGGTTGATGGGGGCAACGGCGATGGTGGTGGGGACGGTGGCAACGGCAACGGCAACGATAATGGCAACGGCAACGGTAATGGCAACGGCAACGGTAATGTCAACGGCGACGGTAACGGCAATGGTTGCTGCTGCTGCTGCTGCTGCTGCTGTGGCAACGGCAACGGCAACGGTAATGGCAATGGGAACGGTTGCGGTAACGGCAATGGCAACAGTAACAATAATAACAATGTCTATCTCAATGGCAATGGTAACGGGAACGGCAACGGCAACGGTGAGGGCAATGGCAATGGCTGCTGCGGCAACGGCAACGGGAACGGGAACGGCAACGGGAACGAGAATGGCAACGGTGAAGGCAATGGCAATGGCAATGGCAATGGCAATGGCAATGGCAATGGCTGCTGCTGTGGCAATGGCAACGGGAACGGGAACGAGAACGGCAATGGTGAAGGCAACGGCAACGGGAACGGCAACGGTGAAGGCAATGGCAATGGCAATGGCTGCTGCTGCTGCGGCAACGGGAACGGCAACGGCAATGGTGAAGGAAATGGCAACGGCAACGGCAACGGCAACGGCAACGGCAACGGCAACGGCAACGAAAACGGGAACGGGAACGGGAACGGGAACGGCGATGGCAACGGCTGCTGCTGCTGCGGGTGCGGCAATGGAGGGGGTGGCAGCAACGGTGGTGGTGGCGGTGGGTCTGGCATTCACGGAATCGGCTTCATTCACAGCAAGTTCAGCGCTCACAGCAACAGCAGCAGCGCCAGCCGTGCCAGTCGTGCCAGCACGGCTAGCAGGGCCAGCAGGGCCAGCAATGCACGTGCCAATCGCCTCACCTGACGAGGAGGATACTAAACATGAATTTTTTCGAAAGTGTGTAACACTTTCTAAAAATGCGTATTGTGAAAGCGCAGCTGACTGTAGCGCAGCAAGGCAACTGCGAATTACCATTCGCCGAATATATAAGAGGGTTGGAGGCCATTCGGCCTCCACCCACGTCTTCATTTTGGAACTTTGCAGTTCCACTCCATTCTCGTCCAACCACTTAGTTTTTCCGTTGTCACTTCGCTTCTTATACAACCTCGTAGACAAGACAGACTTTGTCAAGCGTGAAGGGCAACAGAATCACACATGCGACTATACCTGGCGTGCGTTCAACTGAAAGCGAAGTGCGCCGGAGGAAACGGCAACTAGCACACGCCAAGGACGAAATCGCCAGTGGCGCGCGCCAAGGACGAAATCGCCACTGGCGCCAGTGGCGCGCGCCAGGGACGAAATCGCCACTGGCGCCAGTGGCGCGCGCCAGGGACGAAATCGCCACTGGCGCCAGTGGCGCGCGCCAGGGACGAAATCGCCACTGGCGCCAGTGGCGCGCGCCAGGGACGAAATCGCCACACGCTCGCCTGCAGCACTTGCGCCAGTGGCGAAATCGCCACACGCTCGCCCGCAGCACTTGCGCCAGTGGCGAAATCGCCACACGCGCACCTGTGCCACGAAATCGCCACTAGAGCGGCAGTGACAAGATTCCCTTGACCGGGAGTCAATCACCAATTTTGAGTCGTTTTTTTAAGTGTTGCAAGTCTTTTCATTTATTTTTCTGTTATGTCATCTCCTCTTATTGTCTATTAATCCCCCTGCTGCTTCAATCCTTTGTGGCAGAAAACCGGGCTCAACCCCATGAACACCGGGCTCAACACCACAAAAGTGGGACTCCACCAGTCGCGGGGAAGAAATCGCACCAGCGACAGGATCAACTGCACGCGCACCCAAGGACACCCCCCAAGGAAAATACGGGACCGAGGGTCCCCGTGTGGCCTAAGAGCCGTTCCCCAGGGGGGGGAAGGGGGACCGAGGGTCCCCGCGTGGCCTGAGAGCCGTCCCCCAGGGGGGGAAGGGGGACCGAGGGTCCCCGTGTGGCCTGAGAGCCGTCCCCCAGGGGGAGAAGGGGGGCCGAGGGTCCCCGTGTGGCCTGAGAGCCGTCCCCCAGGGGGGGAAGGGGGACCAAGGGTCCCCGTGTGGCCTGAGAGCCGTCCCCCAGGGGGGGAGGGGACCGAGGGTCCCCGTGTGGCCTGAGAGCAGTCCCTTAGGGGAGGAAGGGGACCGAAGGTCCCCGTGTGGGCTGGGAGCCGTCCCCCAGGGGGGAGAGGGGACCGAGGGTCCCCGTGTGGCTAGAGAGTTGTTTTTACAAGGGAATAATGGCCCTAAGTTCTGCGCTGGCCAGAAGTCCACTGCCTTAAGGAAAGACATGCAGACTCTAATGTTAGATGTGCAAAACTTGATTGTACGGTATACGTTGATGTGGATCATCCTTGGTTATTGCAATGTGCATAGGTTAAGACATGAACGAGGAGTTTTTTAGCCCCACCGTGAGCATTTTGACCCAAAATGGTTGGTTCAAGCCGCACCTAAAATTAGGGGAGAATTTGATTGGAGCGATCTGATTACAAATGTTTGGTTGGTAAAGGGCAACTATGGAAGGTTTTTGAATCTCACTGGTTACATACACCTAACCTCAACCTCAATCATTGTTTCCTTTGCATGAGGGCAATGCGGAAGGGATAAGGCTTTCGCCATCGTGCACTGCACATCCAACTTGTTCTATCATACCGGTACATGCTTGACAAGCGACGTACATGCTTATCAATGATTGAGAAATGTTGGGTACCCATCAACAGTCCGCGCATCGTATGAACATGAATGCGCCGTTGGGAGTTACGGATTGACTTTACGGATTGACTTCTCATGAAGTTCTCGTCTAACCATCATGCCAGACAGCTTCCCTACTATGGTATCCAATTCAAGTTCAGACACTCGCGCTGTAGTTAGTCGGGAGAATCAAACTGTTTGAAGCGCACAGCACATTGAAATTTCAATCGCATAATACCGTAACAGATTTCATTTGTTTCATATTCTACACCCAGGGTCGTGTTAGTGCTCAGGGGGCCATTTCCCAAGGGGAAAGGAGCAGAAGGTCCCTGATGGCCAGAGGGTTGTTCCCCAAGGAAGGGAGGCTGGTATGACACTTATTGTGGCCTTATAATGGAGATATTTATACGATTTTGGTTGCTGAGAAGAGTCATCTTCCACTGTTGAATCAATGGAAATAGGAGTCTAACTTTTCATAATACCGTGTATATGCTTGGACGCATGCACCATGCGGTGAACATGGAAGCACATTGCCCAAACACTCTCCCATTTGCGTGTAATTCACATCGTCGTTGGCTAGCAAGCACACTATTAGGCCCTGCATGGCCATAGAGTAGTTTGGAGGTGCTCACACAGTCATCTAATCAAGGTTATCGATACTGCGTAGATCAACTCCGTTGATGGTCAGATTCTCATATCATTTGACACACCAAGAACTGCTATGTACGTGTTACACAACTTCTTGTGTTGCGGTACCCTACATAAAGAACTATAGGGATGCATCGAGCTCTAGTCAACGACAGAAGATATTGGCCATGATACTCGTAGGGCAACGGAGACAAGCGAGTGTTCAGTAGAAAGAGCCTTGCTATACAATAAATTATCGTTTTTTTTTTTTTTTTTTTTTTTTTTTTTTTTTTTTTTTACGAAATCCATATTAATGGCAGGGATGAAATTTCCTACCGTTCGATATATTTGACTAGCGTTCATACGGTACTCTTCCTAGCGGATCCCTCACGCCTCAGACTACACCCATCCCAAGCTACCCAACCTCCTTCCCTAGTTGCGATTTCTCTTCCTGATGGTTGTGCGCCAGTTGGCATCCTTCCGTGGGAGTTTTGTCCTCTGGCGTGTTCTAGCGAACACCTGCGCACACCTGCGAACATGAAAGGCAGTTCATGACAATAAAACTCATTCAGAAAAAACGCAGTTGCTGCTCAATCCGTCACATAGAAATCACTCGCATGCTATCGTGCTTTGTTGTCTATCCGTCAGCTCGTTCGCATCCTCAACAGAGAAACGTCGACATACGTTGGCGGATGTCGGCGAATCCTAACGGTCGCAATTATTGATCGAGGGCTGACATGCACCGACATCCAGCTACATGGTCAATTCGGACACGCCCGAAAACACCAACTACCACCAGTTCAACCATACACGGCTACCGCACCAACAACCAGGACATCCACCACATCCAGGGAACGAGCAATCTCCATGCACAACATCCCGAACCCCATCGACACGGAGAGCGCAATCACAAACGGCACCCCTCTCAGCTCTTCGTCGATGCCATCAGTTGCAACTACACGTCTTCAACGTCCCCAACCACACATGTCTCAGACGACCCAATTCTAATGAAGCACGTTGCCATTGCAAGAACAGAAATCAAGCTTTCTCAATATGAATTTTTTCGAAAGTGTGTAACACTTTCTAAAAATGCGTATTGTGAAAGCGCAGCTGACTGTAGCGCAGCAAGGCAACTGCGAATTACCATTCGCCGAATATATAAGAGGGTTGGAGGCCATTCGGCCTCCACCCACGTCTTCATTTTGGAACTTTGCAGTTCCACTCCCCACCCACCCACCCTGATCATGTACATGTATGATTTATAGTTGGACGAGAATGCTGTAATTACTGCAATTCTAATGAAGCACGTTGCCATTGCAAGAACAGAAAGCAAGCTTTCTCAATATGACAATTGGATGCTTAGGTCAGAACAGAATTAAGCTGGCGTTTGTCATCCAAATTCCTTTCTGAAACGTTGCTGTCATGAAGTGTAAGAGTGATCCTGGTCAGTACCGTATGTCCTTTCTCTGATATCCAAGAACTGAGAACCAGCCTCCCACATCCCGACCGTGGTACTGCCTGATCCGAAGATCCTTTCACTCGATACATCCACTTCAATATATTACATTACAATTATGCACAGTTTTACACACCATGTTGGTGTCAAATGTCAGGCTCCATGTTAGGTTAGTTGGATACGCACACTCAGTGTAGTGAATTAGTTGCAGTGATAATGTACCGTACTCCACGTGGTGCAATGAGGCTGCGTGGATCAAGTGCAGGCGAGTGAGTCGCCACGAGTCATGAATCATGGCGTGCCCTGATCTGATGCCGCCACCGCCACCCTTGTGAACAACGGATGCTCTGCAGAACGGTCAGTCACGCCAAGGAGAGCAACAGCAGCAATAAAAAATCAGTAAGAGAGAGGGAGGACAAAAAACGAAAGCTGAAGGCAATATCAACCACAGCCACTGTATTTGTGAAGCCTCAATTGCCGTACACTTCAGCAGAAGCTCAGGTGCTGGAACACCTTAGAGGCACTCACCTGGAGCCTAGAAACCAAACAAGCATACATATCCACAGCTTCAGCGGCTGTGAGTCGCACTGAGAGATTCTTCTACAGCAGCAGCAGCAGCATCAGCAGCAGCAGCAACAGCAGCAGCAACAGCAGCAGCAGCAACAGCAGCAGCAGCAACAGCAGCAGCAACAGCAGCAGCAGCAACAGCAGCAGCAGCAACAGCAGCAGCAACAGCAGCAGCAGCAACAGCAGCAGCAGCAACAGCAGCAGCAGCAACAGCAGCAGCAGCAACAGCCGCTGCACCTAGAGATCATAGTGAGGGACAAACATACCTAGAGCCTCGGCGGCCGTGAGTCGGCCTGCTGGATTCTGCTTGAGAAGCAGCAGCAGCAGTGTCATCTTGAAAGCACAGAGAAACCACCTCCTTACACACACTCACCTAGAGCTTCCGCGGCCGTGAGCCTATCCGAGGGATTCTTCTCGAGCAGCAGCAGCAGCAGCAGCAGCAGCTTCATATCATCAGACACCTGGCAACAGGAACGCCATCTGCTGCTGCTGCTGCACTGCACACCGAATCCCCCCCTGCTCCTGCTGTGGGCGCCCAAACGAACCTAGAGGGCACAGAGAAAACCACCTGAGACGCGGACACACATACCTAGAGCCTCGGCTGCCGTCAGTCGGTTTGCCGGGTTCTTCTCGAGCAGCAGCAGCAGCAGCTGCTTCATCTCATCCGATACCTCCTTCCACCTGGGCGACAGAAACGCCACCTGCTGCTGCTGCACTGCCCGCCGAATCCCCCCCGCTGTGGGCACCAGACCAAGAGAAATTACCAAGAGAGCACAGTGAGACCTCCTCAGACGCACATACCTAGAGCCTCTGCTGCTGTAAGTCTCTCCGAAGGATTCTTCTCGAGCAGCAGCAGCAGCAGCTGCTTCATCTCATCAGATACGTCTTTCCACCGGGGCGACAGGAACGCCACCTGCTGCTGCTGCTGCACTGCATTCTGAATCCCCCCCAGTATGAGTTCCAGACAGACAAAAATCACTGGGAGAGCAGAGAGAGAGACCTCCTAGGGCGCACATACCTAGAGCCTCGACGGCCGTGAGCCGGTCTGCAGGATTCTTTTCGAGCAGCAGCAGCAGCAGCTGCTTCATCTCATCAGATACGTCTTTCCACCGGGGCGACAGGAACGCCACCTGCTGCTGCTGCACTGCGCGCCGAATCCCGCCGGCCGTGGCCGCCCAGAAGGGCGGGACTCCGCAGAGGAGGAGGAAGAGCAGGACTCCGAGGGACCAGAGGTCGGCCTGTGTGCCGTACATTCCCGCGTGCACCTCTGGTGCTGCGAACAATGGGGATGTCACTGGGTGTGTGAAGGGGACTCCTGGGGAAAGGGGAGAAGGGGAGAGGGAGCAGGAACAGGGGTAGGGGGAGCAGGAGGGGAAGGCGGTGGGAAGGGTGAGGGAGACCCCCAGAGCCCAGAGGTCGGCCTGTGTGCCGTACATTCCCGCGTGCACCTCCGGTGCTGCGAACAAGGGGGGTGTCACTGGGTCTGAAAAGGGCACTCCTGGGGACGAGAGGAGGGGGAAGGGGGAGAGGGAGCAGCAAGGGTAGGGGGAGGGGAAGGGGGAGAGGGAGGGGACGGGGAGAGAAGTGTTGGTTGCAGGGAACTCAGCAGAGGAGTGGAGGAGGAAGAGGATGACTCTCAGAGACCAGAGGTCGGCCTGTGTGCCGTACATTCCCCCATGCACCTCTGGTGCTGCGAACAAGGGGGCTGTCACTGGGTCCAAAAAGGGGGCTCCTGGGGACGGGGAGAGAGGGAGGGGGAGGGGAAGGCGGTGGGGAAGGGTGAGGGGGATACGACAGCACACTCGAACCCACTCAGCCTGGCATCCCCCAGCGGGCTGTCGTCGGCTGGGAACACGACAGCATGGGGCGTGAGGCTGCGGTGGGCCACCCCCCCTGTACTGGCAAGGCAGACCACCCCATCTCACCTGGACTAACGAACGCAGCGCACTCGAAACCACTCAGCCTGGCATCACCCAGCGGGCTGTCATCAGCCGGGAACACGACAGCGTGGGGCGTGAGGCTCCGGTGGGCCACCCCCCCCCCCCCCCCCCCCTCCCACCCCTGCTACAGTCTGGTGCAAATGGGGCATACCTGGTGTGACAAAAGCTGCACATTCGAACCCACTCAGCCGGGCATCACCCAGAGGGCTGTCATCACTTGGAAACACGACAGCGTGGGGCGTGAGGTTGCGGTGGGCCACGCCTTGAGAGTGGCAGTGGTGCAGCGCGTGCAGCAGCGCGAGGCAGAGCGGTGCTGCGTGGTGCTGAGGGATGGGGCCGTGCTGGCGCATGCGGTCGTGCAGAGAGAGGCGCGACACTGGGTCCAGAATGAGATGCACGGACTGTAGGGGGAGCAAGGGTGAGGGGGGGAGAAGGAGAAGAATGATTCAGGCATATCAGAGTTGTGGGTGTGGTGGCGCATGCGGTCGTGCAGAGAGAGAGAGGCGCGCCACGGGTCTAAAATCAGATGCACGGACTGGGGGGGGGTGGGGAAAGGGGGGGGAAGGATGGAGGTAGAAGGGGGAAGGTGAAGGAGACGAACGCACTAGGTGCCTCAAATGTGCTGCCGCGCAGAGAGAGGCGCACAATGGGGGCCAGGATGACATGCACCGAATGGGTGGGAGAGAGGGACGTGATATAAGTGAGTTTTTGAGACGTCTCAAAAACTCACTTATATCAAAAGGGGGCCAGGATGACATGCACCGAATGGGTGGGGGAGAGGGAGGGTGGGGGGAGGGGAGGGGAAGGGTGGGGGGCGAGGAGGGGCCGTTGGCACATGTTAGGAGCTGTGCAGCAGTGGTGGTGCAATAATGCTCACCGTGTGGCGGTGGTGGTGCATGCGATCGTGAATAAAAGGAAAACGCTGAGCGTCTCAACGAGGGGCAATAATGCTCACCGTGAGGCTCTCAAACTTGTCTCTGAGCCCGATGTTGTGAGCATGCGGCTGCAGCACCTCCATCACCGTCACCACCTCTCAAATGTGCAAAGTTCACTGTATGGCATACGGCTCACCATCTCAAATCGTATGGTGCTCACCGTGAGGCTCTCAAACTTGTCTCTGAGGGCAATGATGTGTGCATGCGGCTGCAGCACCTCTAACACTGCCACCTCCTCTCAATCAACACATAGGGCTCACCGCATCAGCATGTAAGGCTCACCGTGAGGCTCTCAAACTTGTCTCTGAGGGCAATGATGTGTGCATGCGGCTGCAGCACCTCCAACACCGCCACCTCCTCTCAATCAACACATAGGGCTCACCGCATCAGCATGTAAGGCTCACCGTGAGGCTCTCAAACTTGTCTCTGAGGGCAATGATGTGTGCATGCGGCTGTAGCACCTCCATCACTGCCACCTCCACCCCGATGGCCTCCGCCTGCTGCTGTGACTGGAAGAAGGGAGGGCGGGAGTGAGAGAGCGACGAGTGAGACGGAGAGAGTGAGTGAGAGGGAGAGAGGTGACTTTGAGTCATTCTGGCTGCAGCACCTCCATCACTGCCACTTCCACCCCGATGGCCTCGCCTGCTGCTGCGACTGGTGAAAAGGAGGAAAGGGGCGGGGGGTGTGAGAGGAGTGAGAAAGAGTCAAAGGTGGGCATTGAAAGTCATCTCGGCTGCAGCACCTCCATCACCGCCACCACCACTCCAATGGCCTCCGCCCGCCTGCTGCTGCGATCGGGGGAGGGGGAAAGGTGAGAGGTGGAGAGTGAGTGGGAGGAAGATGAGTGAGAGGGAAGGTGTGAGTGAGGGAGATGAGTGTTAGGGAGAGTGAGATGAAGGGCGAGAAAGTGCGTCCGTGCAGACTGCCCGACAGACACAAGGCACGTGCCCGTTTGTTCTCACCCAAACGAGGACCCATTTATAGACTCCTCACCCGAAGGCCCTGCTTGGTGATGGTGCGGCATGTGAGCGGCCTACCCAACCAAAGCCCCATGCATGGCGGATTGTTTGACCCCACCATTCTGCCTGACACCCCCACCTGCTTATTGGCTCCTCACCCGAATGCTCTGCTTAGAGATGCTGCGGCATGTGAGGAGACTGCCAGACGCGCGGTGCACGCAGCGCCTCAACAGCCCATCTCCAGGGGGGTCGTGGTCAAACCAGTCATCCGCAGTCAACGCATACTGCTTGCCCACTGCCCTCATGGGTCGCCTTAACACATTGAACACCCTCCCATTGAACACCCTCCCCCCTTCTTTCTTCCTCTGTCCCCCTCCCCTGCCACCCCTCCCGTCCTCCTCATACACACACCCCTCGCCACATCCCTCCTCCTCATCCTCCTCTGCCCCCTCCTCCTCCGTTTCCACCTCTTCCTCCTCCTCCTCTTCCTCCTCCTCCTGGCAACGCCTGCACCTAAGCCCTCCTCTGCCCCTCCTCTCGCTCCCACCTCTCCCCACCATCCCTCGCGGCGTATCCACCCTCCCACTCACCGACCCTCGCCTACCCAACGGAGACCTCAATTCAGAGTAGAACCTAACCGCCCTCTTCCCCTTCCCCCGACCTACCTTCCCCTTGCCCCTTCCCACCACCCCTCCCCCGTCTCTCTCGCCCCTGACCCATCGCCTCGCACCCTCTCTGCCCTCTCCACCCTCTCCTTTCCCCAAGCTGCTGTTCAGTAAGCTGCTTTGAGCGCTATTCATGCCGTGCTCGCTTCCCATGCCCTGCCCACTGCCCATGCCCTGGAGCGATCCCATGCTGCGATTACTAACACTGGGGTTTTCCTCATCTGAAAACGACTGCAGGCTCGCAATCTCCAGGTTAAGACGCGGAAAGCCGCCCCAACCGAGATGAGACGTGCCTGTTCCAGATGCGACCTCCCCCTCTCCTGCAGCTAAACCGCCCCCACCTGCTCCTCCCCCTGTAGCTCTTCCCATACCCCCCTCGGCTCCTCCCCCTGCTCCTTCCCCTGCTCCTCCTCCTGCTCCCCCTGCTCCCTCTGCTCCCTCTGCTCCCCCCCTTGCTGCTGTTGACGCTGCTGCTACTGCTCTACTGCCGCTGCCTCTGCGCCGGAAGCTTCCTTCCGCCTCCCTGCCCCCTCCTCCACCTCCCCTTCCCCCGTCTGCCGCCCCTGCTACAGCCGAGATGCTTTGGGGCGACCCTGCTAACGCCCACTCCACCACACTACCCGACTCACTCTCCTCCTCCTCTCCTCCCCCGTCTTCTTCCCCTCCCCCTCCCCCCCGCCCCGTCCCCTTCCCCTTCCCTTCCCCCCATGCCTCCGCAACTCCCCCCTACCTCCGCCACTGATTGCTGCCGCCCAAATGAAATCTCCCCAACATCTGCCCCGCCCTCTTCACCCCCCTCTTCCCAACCGCCCCCATGCATTGCCCCACCCTCTCCGCCCCCCTTTCTCCCTCCCCTGCCCCTCTCCCCCTGTCCATCCGCCCATACCTCCCCCACACCCCCCCTTCCCCCTTCCTCCCCCTCCCCAGACTCCGATCCCCCTGGTTGAGCACACTCGTTATCGCTAACCGCTCGCCTGTGCTTCTGCCTCCCGTTCCCACTCCCTCCCGGCACCTGCCCCCGACTTTTCCGCTGCCCGTTAACCTGCCCGTGGTCCGAGTCCCCGTCCGTTCCATCTCGTGCCACGTCAGCGCCAGCAGCAGCGGAGTAACTCTCAAAACTACTGCTGTAATCCACACCATCCCCCACGGATCCTGAGCTCTGCCGCAATAGTTTCTGCCCTGAACTTAGGGCGTATTCGCTCTTCCCTCTCCTGTGTGATGTGCCTGTGCCCCCTCCCCCACCCATACTCCCACCCCCTGCTGCTGCCAGCCGCAGAAACTGCGGCTGTGGCAGCGGCTGTAGGGGTGGCTGCCGCATCAGCTGCTGCTGCTGCTGCTGCTGCGGCTGCTGCTGTGATGGTGACTGTGTCTGTTGTGATGATAACGGAGGGCTGCCAGGGGACTGCCTTATAGGGAAACTGGCACTGTGGCTGCCACCTGTGCTGGTGCCTCGTCCAATCCCTGATCCTCCGCTGCTGCTGCTTCCACTGCTGCTGCTGATGAAACTGTTGCTGCCACCGCTGCTGCTCATGAAACCGCTGCTGCTGTTTCCAACGCTGGCGCTGCTGCTGCTGCTGCCTTTCCAGCTAGCCACTCCCGACGCGCCACCTGTCGAGAGGCTTCGGCGGGAGGGAGAGGGATTGCGCAAGGGACTACCTGATGACGACGCTGCGAGCATAGATCCGGCTCCTCTGGTTGGTGAGACCCCTCGTGGCTTCTCAAACCCTACCGAAACACCGTTTCCTGCCCCTGCTGCCCCTGCTCCTGCTGCTGCTGCCCCTGCTGCGGCTGCTCCCCCAAATCCCCCCACAACGCCTCCGCCCATCCCTCCGCCAGTCCAGCTGCAGGCGGCGCTATGCGCCCCCATACCCAGCCCCGGCCCCCCGTCCAAGTGGTGGTGGGGGGAGACGAGCGGGGGAGGCGCAAGGTTGCTTCCGCCTATGCCTCCCACGCCGCGGCTGGGGCTGGTGCTAGGGCTGGCCCGACGACCAGGGGAGGATTTCCTTCCGCTGTCGCTGGAGGAGCGGGGGAAGTGCCTATATGCTGGATGGTGAACGGAGTGGGGTGAATGGCTTATTGCTGACGCAGCACCACCAGCAGCAGCACCAGAAGCAGCAGGAGCAGGTGGTGCTGTTGTGCTGTTAGTGCCATCGAAACCCCCACCACCACCAGCACCACCAGCACCACCACTACTGGGGTGCCCGTGGAAACTATTACTCCCATGCAGCCGCACCCCTCCTTGCATCCTACCCCCGCCGTACAGACTCCCGTCAGCGTTACCACCATCACCACCGCTCTCTACCACCAAAATATCCGCGGAACCCCCCCCAGTTCCCCCCCTTTCCGCTCTCTGCGCCCTCCCCGTGGTTACAACCCTCCGTAACTCCACCCCCGCGCCAATCTCCGCCGGTCCCCTCCTCTCCTCCGTCCCCATTCCTGTGGCGGGCGAATTCGGGCCGCTAGCGTTTTCGTCTGTTGACAGAAACTGGTCCAGAATCAGGTTGTACGAGTCGCGCCGGCCCAGCTCCGACCCCAGGCCGGCGGGGCCGTCCATGCGCCCTGGCGCGGCGGACGCGAACGCGCGGAGCTGCCTTCCGCCGCCGCCTCCGCGCGCGGAGTCTAGGAGCCCTGTGGCGGTGCCTTTATGCGCGGGCAACGACGCGGGGACGGACGAGTTGCGCGGAGGCATCATCATAGATCGCCCTGCCCCGGATACCACCTTCCCCTGAATGGAAAACGGCGAGGACCCAGCCCCGCCTAGAGCCGACCTCGGCATTCCCGAGGCTCCGCCGCCGCCGCGCGCGCCCGCAACTCCTCCCGCTCTTCCGCCCCCTCCCCCGCCCGCCCCAGCCCCCCCTCCGCTGTTGCTCCGCCCGAAGCTCACTCCGCCGCTCGGCGACCCGCTGCCATCTTTAAGCGCTTCTTCCCACTCCTGCCCGGGGAACGCGGCGTGAAGCTGCTTTTGCGCGAACACACTGGCAGGGTCGTGAGAGGAGCTGCGCGGAACGCCAATCTGTCGGTATATCGGCAGGTACGACCCTGTTCCAGGCCTGTTTCCCGCACCTGAACGTTCGGCTCGGCGGCGTGGATTCCCAACCGGCCCGTCCGGACCTGACGGTCTGCTTGGGGAGGATCCCGAGCCTGCGTTACTAGGGTCGTCGTCGTCTTCCCCGCATAGCGTATCTGCGTCTAAGGTTCGGGACCGGATCAAACTCGAAGGTTTGGAAGTGAAACCGGATGCTTCGCCGTCCGAAGCTGCTCGCCGAGACGCCTTGCCAGGTTCGGCAGTTTCCCACTCGTTTCCGAAAGCTGAGTCTCCGCCTCTGTATAGGTCGGGAAGTCGCGCTTCGTCGGAACCAGCCGCACCGCCAGCGCTTCCAAACGCGCCGGCGGTCATTCCTGCTGCTCCGCCAATCCTTCCCCCCTTTCCCCCGCCAAAGGAGGCGCTTCCAACTCCGCCAACGGACCGCGTAGAACGTGGAATAGCTGGACTTCGCTGGCCCGAGCCGCCGGCTCCTGCTAGTCCTCCCCCTGCTCCGCTTCTCCCAGAACCGTCGATTCCTGGGTTCACCATGGATCGTACGGACGACGACATGCCATCTGGCAGACTGTCCGGCGACTGGTAATATCTCGGCTCGCTATCCTCTTCTGGTAGTGGTTGTTGTTGCTGCTGCTGCTGCTGCAGGATTCTAGAGTGCAGCATCAGCACGGACGGCGGTTGCACCGTGATTCGCGGCTCCGACTTACACACGCGGTTGAGCACTCTGGACGGGCTAATGTCATCGTCAGTGTGAGTGTGGGTCATTGTAGAGTGTCTGTACCGGGTAGTCTAATGTCATCGTCAGTGGAAGTGTGAATCATTGTACCGGGTAGTCTCTTGTCATCGTCAGGGTAAGTGTGAGTCACTGTACAGTGTCCGTATCAGTAATTAAGAAGGCCGCAACCGTCGGTCTAGCGTCATCGTCAGGGTAAGGTAAGCGTGGTTCATTGCTAAGTGTCTCTATTTTAACCACTAGAAGCCCGCGTCGGATCGTCTAATGTCATCGTTAGTGTAGGCGCGAATCATTGTCGAGTGTCCGTGTTAAGAATTGAAAAGCCCGCAACGGTCATCTGACGTCATTGTTTCATTATGGCTGGTAGACGTAAGGTGCGTGCCACGGCTCAGGAGTGCGACTCGCACTAGGATGCGGTCAGAACTTTCTGAAACGGAATGTTCCGGCTTTGCTCCAGAAAAGCGGGGACGCTGGAGGATCGTCAGAACGCTGAAGATTTTAAATTTGAACGAAATCGAAACTCCTCCCTCAAATCAAAGTAATGAATCCTCGACGCGCGCTGCTAGCCCAGTACAGCACCTGCGAAGTAAATAAATATTATATTAACTGGCTGTTGACACCTCCATTCATCTATTCTCGCTATTTCTTACACTATTCTTGCACCGCACAACTCAAGCGAACCTCGAATCAATCGAACAATAACGTCAACCACTTGCTTTACTATCACTACTCTAACACTGGTTAACGCAGGTCAGGAATACGCCTGCGTTTATTTATTGTGGAGCCATGAGTGACAAAAAGTGATAAAATACCTCTGGTAAGGTAAGCAAGAGTGACTTCTGGCTGGTCCCACTCCTCCACCCACTCTTGCAAAACACGCGGGGTGGTTGAGATGACTGGCCTTGCACGAGCATAGCATCCTTCGGCCGGTGTCAAACACGGTGCAGTACGTTTCACGAAGTTAAGCTACGGTATGTTACTGCTTCTGACCGTAACGAACCAGGCAACAACTTGGTGCATGATTTGAAAGAAATGCTGCTGATTTCGGCGCGAAGGAACAGCACCACCCGTACACCACACTGACTTGGCTGGCACTGTACAGGTGTGTGATTGGCCCTAGAGAACTCCGACCCGAACCGAACCAAGGGCCGCGGACAAGATCAAGGTTCAGAGTTATGCAACGCAGCAAAGCAAGGGATGGCAGGAGGCAAGGGAGGGGAGGGGAGGGGGGGACTCGAGGGAGGGGAGGGGTGGGAAAACCCGAAGCATTACCAAACCAGAAATGTATTTTCATACATTTGCCGAAGCTCAGAGCAAGGTTTAGTTCCAGGTACGGATGTTTGACATTTTCGGTTCGTTTGTTTTTTCTTCGTGAGCAGTCGTTCGGCTCGGCACTAGAGGACAGAATCGTATCCGGTGCCTGCCTGCCACCAGGCAGAACCCTGCAAAAACGGCAGGTTACCAGAAACGGGTCAAATGTTTTTTTCTGGGAGTTTTAGGGCTCAGTTGATTATGACCCTGTTAAACAGAGGTTTCATGCTGTGGACTGGGCCTATACCAACTAAACATTCCTTGAGTGCGGGGAAATTTAGAAGCCTCCTTGAACTACTTAGCCTGTGTCTTTGGACACTGATGAGTTAAGGCTACAGAAACCTGGAAGTGTAGGACATGCTAAATTCTCTTCCCAAATTTAAATCCTTCCTGCTTAGCTGAATACTTCTCACTCTGGCCGACCTTCGACAGTGCTGTGCACCCCCAGCCCTAAAATGGCAAAAATGAAACTTCACCTCCGCGAGAAAAGCAACCCTGAAATGGCAGGGCGACCGAAAACGAAAGCAGTTCCCTCTGCTAGTGCGACTGCCACCCAGTCACCTCACCTCCTCGCCTTGTGGAGTGGAACCATCAAACAGCAGCAAGAGGCTGCAGCAGTGCCCCATTGACGAACCACCCATCAAACAGCAGCAAGAGAAGCATTGACGTTTTTCTCCCGAATCCTGCCCTGATTTGCCCCCGACCACCCAACCCCAACCTCTACACCCTCTTTCTCACCTATCTCACCGGCGGAAGCACTGGCTACAGTGTTTGGACGTAGCGGGCTGGTGAGATAACTCGGTTGTGGGTAAAGTCGCACGAGGGTTTGAAACAAGCCTTGGGCCGTAAAAAACCATTAACGTTGAATAACCATCCCAACCGCTTTGAAAACAACAGTACCGTTCCAGAACGTAAAAAACCTTGACTAAACGCCCTGGGTCAAATTGTCACTATAACGCATGTGATAGGACCTTCTTGGGTCCGGTGCGGTCACACTAAGCGTCTCGGTAAGTATAACATATGCCAGTCTATCGAGAATGAGGGTGTACCACCTCCATTCTTCCGCTCTTAGTTCAGTGCAATGGTGGGTCAAGTGGAGGGCCACCTGCAAATTGCGAATCGTGAATGGTTTCCCCATTTCGGTTGGTTGGTGCTACCCGTAAAAAAAGGCAGGGGGAAAAACCCTTTTGGAGTTACCCACAATTTCCAACATTACTTTTCATGGGAATGTTCCACACTACTAGCATGAGGGATTCAGCAGTAGATAAGGGAAGAATACCTGAACACAATATCAGCCCTAACGTTGCTCACCTCACCGGCACTACTATAATCAACATAATAATTTCTCTACCAGACAAATTCCACTTGCAAAATCCTCCCACCCCTGCACTCATGACTTACATCACAACAATTTCCACAATTTCCACACCTCCAAAAGCATGAAATCCAGGCAGTAGCCCTAATTCATACTCTTGGAACAAGGAGCCTCCTCGTGAGAAGAACCCTCAGCTCCACCTCCCTTCCCACCATCCATAGAAAATTCTCCATCCCCCTTACCCCCCTCCCCAATCCGCCCATCCTCGGTCCTTATCTCCCCTAACCCCTCATGCCCAGAATGGCCTGCCCCATTCCCTCCCACAGCAGGCAGGGGCAGCTTAAAAGCACTATCTCTCAGCGGACTCTGCCCGGGAATGAAAGGGGGCGGCGGACTGGACCCCGGGTGAAAATCCACCAATGGCGAGACAGCATACCATGACTTATCCGGAGCAGGGGACGGCGGGAAGCTGCCATCCCTCAGATGCACCTGCCCTGCAGCCGTATCCGAAGCTGTGTCCGAAGCAAAACCGCCTCCCAAGCCTCTCGCGCTCCCACCGAACCCAGCAGTGGCAGCAACAGCTGATCCGGCTACTGCTGCTGCTGACCCTCCTTCTTCTGAGTACTGAGTGGTGGATCGCCCTAGCGGCTCCTTGTCTCTCTGGCTGTTGCTGTCCTTCTCCCCGCAGTGACTGCTGTGCCGAATGGCATTACTCAGTGCCTGCACGCGCAGGCTCTCCTTCTCCTTCGCCCCACCTGCACCACCAGCGCCACCAGCACCCGAGCCTGCACCACCCCCAGCCCCTACCCCTGTCCCTGCCCCTGAACCAACCCCATTGGCAAAACTCGGTGACGACAATAGCGCACCTGCCGCCGCCGCAGCAGCAGCAGCATCGCCTCCTCCTCCTCCTCCTCCTCCCCCTCCCCCGCCCCCGCCCCCTCCACCAGCGGCGGAACCTACTCCCGTTCCTGTGCCCCTGGCTCCCCCCGCCCTGCTAGATCCCGCCCCCAGCGCGCCTGCTGCAGCGGGGAAGGGGGAAGGCGCAGCGCCCGCCTGCGCGCTCTCCTCCGCGCTGCCCATCTGGGGCACCAGCCGCACGGGCTCCTGACTCGACCGCGTTCGCGCCATCGGGTTCCCCCCCAATGGATTCCCCCCACTTCCCCCTCCGCCCCCGGCGCCCCCGCTATGGCCCCCCGCGGGGGGCGGAAGCAGGTCCCGCTTAGAGTTATTCGGGGAAGCCCTGCGCGCCCCAGATAAGCCTGCGCCAGTAAAACCTGCTCCTGGGAGGCCCGGACTGGTGTAACTCGGGCCGGTAACACCTGAACCCGCGGTGGCCATGGCGGAATAACCCGACTGCCCGTGCGTCCCCGTGCTGCTGCTGCCTCCCGCTCCGCCTCCCCCTCCGCCTCCCGCGCTCCACGCGCCGCTGGCCCCCCCAACTCCGCCGCTGGACTCTCCCGAGGCGGACGGAGGCGCGGCCGTGGGGCTGCCGCGGTCTTCATACTGCCCGGCGGGCAGGCTAGAAAGAAACAGCCCGAGGCGTTCCAGAGCGATTGCGTCCGCGCTCCCGTCCCGCCCGCTTTCCCCCTCCCCTTCCCCCTCCCTCTTCCCATCCCCTTCCGCTTGCTTACTCCGCGGAGATTTGAGTCGCACGGGCTCGTTCGTGGACTCGTCTACAGTCGCAAACGACTGATCCGATTCTTCCAGCCAAGCCACAATACGCTGCCGCCCAGGCATGGCGTTGAGATACGATACGGATCCGGCACTGTTCACTGTGCGCGATCCCACGGCCGCAGCATAGTGCTGCTGGTGCTGGTGCAGCTGCTGGTGATGCTGCATGTGCTGCTGTATCGTCGTCGGCCCCGCGCTGCTCGGCCGCTCATCCAAACCTCCCCCTCCGCCGCCTGCGCCGCTGCCTGGTCTGATGTCTATACCCGATGCGCCAAACCCTAGCCCCGGACCAGCCGCCATGATTACCGGCCCCAGATGGCTCTTGCCTCTATCTACCGCTATAGGAGGTTTTGACGAAGCATCCCGGGACCCCCCGCGACCCGACCCACCTCCGCCGCCGCCATGCGCTGCGGTGATGCCGCTTCCGCCGCCGACTCCGCCGACGCCTCCGCCGCCGCCTCCTCCTGCTCCGCCGCCGCCTGCGGCACCGCCGCTGATACCGGAGGCGTTTTCCGAGCGAATGCTGCGAATTTGCGCAGCGTGTAACACGGCGACTGACGACATGGCGACGCGGTCGTCGGCGGCCGCCATTTTACTGGCGTATTCGCGCACGCCGGCGTCGCCGACGGGGGAGGAGGCGGAAGGAGCGGGCTTGCGCGGGGTGCTCCGCGCGGGCGGCGCAGGCGCAGCATAGTCGTCGTTGACATTGTCGTCGTCGCCCGCCTTGGGCCGCGCGAAACAGCAGAACATGATCGCTCGCGAATGTCGTTAACGCCGTGGCTGGATAGCTGCTGGTAACCCTCTTCTTCGCCAGCGGGCTCCTCAATTCACTAGTAGCCCTAACCTACCGTCGATGAGCGCCGAGTCTAACTCGCTGGTGCGGTACCGAGCCTAATTCATGAGCAATGTTTGGTCTTCCAGACCTTGAGAAGGCGAGGAGAAGGCTGGGAAAAGGCGGGAAAAGCCGGCGGAAGGCTGGGAAACTACTCCAACGGAACAGTAAACTCAAAACTTGAAGATAGGCGAGCAATGACCAGTCTGCACGTGACGTGCACTCCTCGCGACGAGCGACACGAGCGCAAGAATGGAGTGAGGCGTATCGCTGAGGGTGGATGATTGTGGTCGGCCGGAACTGAACCGAACTGGACCGGACGGGACTGGACCGGACTGGTCGGGGATTGCAACCAGGAGTTGAAGACGGTTCGAAAGGGTCGAAGCTGACATGCGGTTGCGGGATGCAGGCCAGCTTTCATTCCATCAGCAGGTATTGGACTCTCGTCGGCGGAAATACGGCCGCCGGAAACTCAGTCGGGAAACCATGAGGGTAAGAAACAGCGATATTCGCGTGTGTGGGCTGATGACTAAAAGTGTGAACGACCTAGGCCAAAGAGACGCGTCAGGGACACCAAATAGACTTCTCAGAACCTTTTATTCATGATGACAATTTCGTGTCTGGAAACAACGCACAGAGCAAGTGCGTTGATCCCATATTAGCTTAGGATGGAGGTGGTCTAGGTTCGCCAGAAGCCTCTTGGTATTTGACCTTCAGATAATGACCACGTGACCTGAAGCGCTGACACGTCAGACCGTCCCAGCCCGCGAAACCTACGCGAGACTAGGAGGAACATACTATCACCACGTGGTGAGACGCGAGGTTAACCTCCGTTGCGAAGCCAGACAGCAAAAAGAGCTAGCTACCCTTGGAATGCACGAAAACGGTGAAGCCGATGTGCTGAGGCAAGGAGCCATAGATAGTTTTTGAAGCAAGAGAATCGGATAGGCTTTGGCTGGACAGGTAAGGAAAGGGATTGATGGGATGGATGGCGGTGGCGGAACAGTAATCGGCGCGGGGTTGGCAGAAGGAGAAGCGGGGGGCGGGGGGCGGGGGAAGCGGGGGCGTGTGGGGGAGAAGCTTGGGACGTGTAGGGGAGGCATGGGGTGGGAGGAATGGGGTGGGAGGAATGGGGTGGGAGGAATGGGGTGGGAGGAATGGGGTGGGAGGAATGGGGTGGGAGGAATGGGGTGGGAGGAATGGGGTGGGAGGATGTGGGGGAGATAATCTCAAGGTACAGAGGTGGGGGACGCAGGCGAAGGGGGAATTAGGCGGACTGGCGGAAAGTGAGGGGTTGCTGTGAAGAGGGGGGAGCACCGGGGAAATCGGGAGATGATTGGCGGAATGCAGGTGCGGCGGAAACGACATCCATCGATCAGTGAGTACATTTCCGCTTGCAGGCAACTATGGCGGAGTTGGCTCGTGAAGACAGCGGGGGCAGTACTGATGGTGTTGGGAAACCGAAATTGGTACATTTGCGCTTCATTTGCGCTTATACTACTAGTCACAAACAACACAAACCATCCCAGCCTATGAAACCATTAAAAAAAAAAAAGACCCAGCAAGAATCTCTCAACATCAGGGTCACTGAAATCCTCCAATAGATATATACAAAGGTGAAACGTGGAAAAGCCTTGTATCCAGAGAAACTTGACAAAACCAGAACCGGCCTTCAGTTTTTGTGCATTTTAAGGCATTGCGAATGCTGGTGCCTGGTCGTGCATGTTCACCAGCCTTGCATATTCACCACCCTTTGCCATGAGCTGTGCATGTGTGCCCACCTGGCAGAATCACATCAAATATAAGAGAGCCCAGAAAAGGTCAACAAAAGGACGTTATCAACTCATGTCGAGCAAGCTTCGATGAAAAAGCAGCAACATGTTAAATTCTTGATCATCGTAGAACAACAGCCCCTCAAGGCTTCAAAAAAATGTATATATGTATCAAATGCACAAATAGTCTATTGCATGGCACTCACCTCCGTTATCCTGCCATGAGCCATCACCACAATGCGGTCTGCTGCCTGGATTGTTGACAACCTGATGCAGAATAGGAGAGAGAGGGGTTAAAAAGGAAGCATGGAGCATGGAGAAGGGAACGTATAGAGGAACTGTCAAAAGACAGGTTCATCCCGCAGGAGGCCAATGAGGTTTAGTGAGTACGAAGGGAGCCCATCCATCTACAATAAAAGCAAGCGCGCCAGTGCACGAAATAGTTCAATGAAAGGAAGGAGCAACGCACTCAATCACAGCATGTGATTGAGTCAACAACACAACACCAATCACAACCATTTCCATCCCACCCACTGCAATCACCTGTGTGCAATCACAATGACGGTGCGATCGCGCCGGCCGTTCTTCCCCTTCCGCATCGCCTCATCCAGTGCCCCCTGCACGTTCCTCTCACTCTCCACATCCAGCGCACTCGTCGCCTCATCCAGAATCAATATCTTCGGGTCCCGCACCAGGGCCCGGGCAATCGCAATTCTTTGCTTCTGCCCGCCGCTCAGCCGCGAGTTGTCCACCACTGTCGCGTACCCCTCGGGCAGCTCGGAAACAAAATCGTGTGCGTTCGCCGCGCAGGCCGCGCGTGTGATCTCCTCGTGGCTCTTTTTTCGGCTGCCCGAGCCGTATGAAATGTTTGCTGCCACGTCTGTGCTGAAGAGACGAGGCTCTTGGCTGACTACCCCCATCTGCCCGCGCAGCCATTTCGTGTCAAACTCCTTTATAGGAACACCGTCCAGAAGAATCTAGGAAAGGAGAAAGGGGAGGAGGGAAAGGGTGGGGATGAAATTGGGGAAGGGAACCGCGAAACATACAGTGGTGGGAAAATGGAGGTGGAACGGGGGTGGGGAAAACGAGGGACTAGGAGGACAACAGTGCAAAACCCCTCGTGAGCTCTTGATACCTCGCAAAACCCCTCCTCACCTCTCCGTGTGTGGGCTCGTAGTGCTGCTGCAGCAGCCCCACGAGAGTGCTTTTCCCACTGCCACTCAGCCCCACCAGCGCCACCAGCTCGCCTGGATTGATGGTGAGACTCACATGGGACAGCACAGAGGCCTGCAGGAGAACCAAGACACAGCAGGGGTTTCGGCAGCGGTCGGAAGGTTCTAGAGGAGTGTGAAGTAACAACACAATGGTCTTTTTGTCCATCACATGCCGTGAGCCTGGTAGACATTTTCTAGAAGCTTAAAATAATCATGTCAAATTCATGAAATGTCATTTTGATGGACCCGCAAAACAACCATGAAGTTGGAACCAAACAGGCAAGTTCAAGAAAAGCACGCACCTCAGGGCGGGTTGGGTATCGGAAGGACACATCTCGGAACTCAATCTTGCCTTGCAGCCATGGCATTTGTAAGCCTGGCATCAAGCATGGGGGGAGAACATCGGATCAGCGCACACAGACATGAGCTTGTGGCGTCAAGGCGTGAACACATGGAGGCATGAACGCATGAAGGTTTGCATAAGGCTATGGATATGGGACCGTGGGATGGAGACATGGAGGGCCGCTCACAGTAAATGCCCAACCCAGCCATCATGTGGCGTGGCATGCATGTGAGGCTAGGCATGTAACCTGATACGCAACCCAACCTTGGCCTGTGCAAGCAAGCCCACCCTTTGTGTTTGCGAGCTGTGGTGCCGGTGACATGTCCAGCAGCTGGAAGACGCGGCTGCAGGCGCCCAGGGAGCTCATGAGAGACGCCCAGTGGTCGCCCACCCACCAGGTGGCGTGGCGTGTCATGCACATGAGGCCTAGGCACGTGACCTGCTATGTGTGGCCTAACCTTGGCCTGTGCAAGCAAGCCCACCTTTTGTGTTTGCGAGCTGTGGTGCCGGTGCCAGGTCCAGCAGCTGGAAGACGCGGCTGCAGGCGCCCAGAGAGTCCATGAGGTATGCCCAGTGGTCGCCCACCCACCAGGTGGCGTGGCGTGTCATGCACATGAGGCCTAGGCACGTGACCTGCTATGTGTGGCCTAACCTTGGCCTGTGCAAGCAAGCCCACCTTTTGTGTTTGCGAGCTGTGGTGCCGGTGCCAGGTCCAGCAGTTGAAAGACGCGGCTGCAGGCGCCCAGGGAGTCCATGAGGGACGCCCAGTGGTCGCCCACCCACCAGGTGGCGTGCACGACCCACTCGGCGTACAGAATGAACTGCGTCAGCTGCTCCGCTGTTATGGCTCCCGCCATCACTGCACTGCCGCCCATGATCAGTGCGAGGACCTGCAGGGAGGGGGACAGGGGGATGGGCGCAGGGGTATGAAAAGGGCGTTGGCTAAGGAAGTGAGTCAGCTGCTCCACTGTGATGGCCCCCGACATCACTGCACTGCCGCCCGTGATCAGCGCTAGCACCTGACGGGAGGAGGTCAGCGGGTTGGGCGTAGCGCAGGAATATGGAAGGGCGTTGGGAAAGGCAGGAGAGGAGGGAGCAATTAGAAGGGCTTGTAGAGAGTATGCACCACGTGCCCAGCCCACCACGTGACAAGAAGCACCACCCGCCCAGCAGGTGGCGTGCACGACCCACTCGGCGTACAGAATGAACTGCGTCAGCTGCTCCGCTGTGATGGCCCCCGACATGACTGCACTGCCGCCCATGATCAGTGCGAGGACCTGATGGGAGGAGGGGACAGCGGGTTGGGCGCAGGGAATGATAAGGCCGGTGAGAAAGGGAACTGCGTCAGCTGCTCCACTGTGATGGCACCAGACATCACTGCACTGCCGCCCATGATCAGCGCGAGGACCTGGTGGGATGGGTGAAGGAAAGAGGTGGGGTGGGGAATGAGGGGTCAGTGCGAGCACCTGGAGGGCTGTGCACACTGCAAGGGGCATGGACATGGGCTCGCACTGCAAGGGAGAAAGCATGAGAAGGAGGATCAGACACATGATATGGCATGGCATGGCATGGCATGGCTAGGCACAGCACGGCTGGACACGGGATGGCATGGCTGGGCACGCCACGGCTGGACACGGGACGGCATGGCACAGTGCAGACATGGCCTATTAGCTCAGCTGGTTAGAGCGTCGTGCTAATAACGCGAAGGTCACAGGTTCGAGACCTGTATGGGCCAGTATTTTGCTCCCCATTGTTTTTTAAAAACTCGACGAACGAGGGGTTCGTCAACTTGATTTATGCAGAACGGACTGCATGGCACGCCACAGCGCGGCGTGCCATGCACGGCACGGAACGGCATGACCCATACCTGAGTGGCATTGTAGATGGTGTTGCCCCCGAAGTTCCACATGCCATACGCCACAGAGCGCCTGAGACCCACATGCTGCAGGCGCTGCAGCGGAACCTTGTACCTGGTGGGGTGGGAGGGAGAAGGAGAGAGGAGGATTTCTTAGCCAACTAATAAAGTGCTGCATCAGCCCTTGTACCTGGTGTTGCGGGGGCAACTACCGCAAAGAAGCGCCTTCGTTTTTTTTTTTTTTTTTTTTTTTTTTTTCTTGGCCTCACTAGCGGAAACCAGCAGTTCTCGTCAACACGTAGCAGCAGCACCCAGCAACACCCACCTGTTGACTTCCTGCTGCTCCGTGCCAAAAGTGCGGACCACACGAGCCAGTGAGATGGTCTCCTCTGCGACCTGCAATAACAATGGTGGGGCGAGGAGGTTAGGCAGGGCGAGTCGGTTAGGCAGGGCGAGTCAGTAAGGCAGGGTGGGGCAGTAAGGCAGGGAGATGGTAACGCAGGGAAACGGTAAGGACGATAGACGGTAAGGCCGGGAGACGGTAAGGCCGGGAGACGGTAAGGCCGGGAGACGGTTGATCAGTGCAGGAAAGAAGTGCAGTAGAGCAGTGCTAAAGCCACGTACTCACCTCATTGGCAGATGCGACAGTGTCTTGGATGAGCCGGGCGCTTTCCCTCTGGAACCTGCAAACACATGTCAGTGCAGATCAACACACACATCAGCACGCAAACACACGCACATCCACACGCAATACACAGACAGACACAGCAGCCTTGACATTGTTGGCAGAGAAACCGAAATACTTGCCATACATCACAGAGCACACGGCACACGCCATAAGCCACAAGCTATCATAGACAGCACGCAGATCCCACACGCACCATATGCCAGGACCGTGCACTCACAATCACCTTGCAGCAAATCACCAACTAACCAGCCAGCCACACCTGTCAACCAGAGCGTTACCTGCCAATCAAACGGTCCTACCTGCCGTATGCAACAAGGCAGCACCACATGAGGGCGCACAGCCCCGCGGAGATGAGCGCCATGCGCCAGGAGAGGCGCAGCAGGAAGCACATGGCGCCCGCCCCCTGCAGGGCGTTGCGCAGCATCACATTGACGTCCCCCGCTGTGCTCTGCGCCACCTGCTGGCAGTCCGCGCCCAGGCGCGAGGTCAGGTCGCCCACTGATTCCTTGTCAAAAAAACTCACGTCCTGAAAGGGAGGGAGGGGCGGGGAGGGGAGGGTGGGGGTGGGGAACCGGTGGGGAGCGGTGGGGAGAGGTACGCACGCACTAAGGCACCAGTGAAGGCCTGTGGGAATGGAGGGACATGTGGCTGGAAGGGCCAAGGAAGGGGAGGAGTGGGAAAGCAGGGAGCGCAGCATCGCGTTGACGTCCCCCGCTGTGCTCTGCGCCACCTGCTGGCAATCCGCGCCTAAACGTGACGTCAGGTCGCCTACTGATTCCTTGTCGAAAAAGCTCACGTCCTGTGAGGGGAGAGAGGGGTGAGGAGCGGTGGGGAGGGGTGCCGAGGGGTGAGAGGAGGTACGGACGCACTAAGGAGACACCAGTGAAGGCCTGTGGGAACGGTGGGACATGTGGCAGGAAAGGCGTGAAAGGCAGTCCGCGCCCAGGCGCGAGGTCAGATCGCCCACCGACTCCTTGTCAAAGAAACTCACGTCCTGGGAGTGTGGGAAGCGGTGGGGAGAGGTGGGGAGACGTGAGGGGTGGGGAGAGGTACGCACACACGAAGGCAGAACCAGTGAAGGCCTGTGGGAATGGTGGGGCTTGTGGCAGGAAAGGCGGACGGGGAGGAGGGGGGAGAAAAGAGAGCAACAGAAGAAAGGGGGACGAGGGCACTACCGAATAGGGGATGGGACGACGGGCATACCTGGTGCATGATAGTTGAGAAGAGCGCCTCCCGCATGCGGCACACCATGCGCATGTTGAGCACCGTGAAGCAGAAGGAGCGCAGCCCACTGCGTGCAGGGAGAGAGGGAGTGGGAGTTGAGGGGGGATAAGAGATAAGGAGCGAGGGAGTGAGTGAGTGAGTGAGTGAGTGAGTGAGGCATGCGGCACACCATGCGCATGTTGAGCACCGTGAAACAGAAGGAGCGCAGCCCACTGCCGGTGGGGGGGAGAGAAATATGAAGGGGAGGGGAAAAGGGGGATGAGAGGAGGAGAGCGAGGGAGGAAAGCAGGGCGTGAGTGAGTGAGCATGTGCAACACCATGTACAGTACATGTTGGGAACTGTGAAACAGAACGTACAACACCACGTGCATGCCGCAGGTTCCAAATTCGAGTGCACACGAGTGTATGGGAATGCACCTGGTTGCTCCATATCTCGCAAGCGCGCACCTGAAGGCGCCGCAGGCGAGCGTGAGAGCGACGAGCAGCTTGGCGTTGTGCGTGAACTGCGCACCCATGTTGTTGGACGCCCATGCTGCTCGTCGCCCTCGCGGCGACCATGAAAGCATATGAATGCTCACCGTACAGGCTGCATGTCCCACCCACCCGCGCACGCACGCGCATACCTGAAGGCACCGCAGGCGAGAGTGAGAGCGACGAGCAGCTTGGCGTTGTGGTTGAACTGCGCGCCCATGTTGTTGGACGCCGCGAAGATGGTCGACGCCAGCAGATGCGACTTACGAGTCTACTCAGAGCTAACGTCTGCGCAGCCCAAGCACATTCTGACGCACCTGAAAGCACCGCAGGCGAGCGTGAGCGCGACGAGCAGCTTGGCGTTGTGGTTGAACTGCGCGCCCATGTTGTTGGACGCCGCGAAGATGGTCGACGCCAGCAAATGCGGAATCGTCACCTCCGATATCTGCCACGTGGCAGGCACGGACAGTCGTGTGGGCGACGCGAATCAGACGGAGATACACATGAAAGTGCTACTGATTCACGCAAGAACTAGCAAACAATCATGGTGCAATCAACCGTTGTCCTATTCCTGTTGAAATATCTCAAAAGTGACTTCTCATGCCACGCATCCCATATCGTTCCCCCCACAGCCACTCACCGCAGCAAGTGACAGGAAGACAAAAGCCACCACCACCAGTCCCTTATCCGGCGCACAGAATCGCCACAGCTTCCGACCCGCATCCCCCAGGCTCCCCACCCCCTCATCTTCCGCCGCCCCCGCTCCGCCTTCCCCCTTCCCCTCACCGGCCGCCACCTCGTACCCCATGTCATCCCCAGACGCTTTCCCCTGCCCCTGCGCCTTCTCCGCATCCTCTTCCATGCGCCACCAGCTGCCATACGGCAAGGCGGACCGCAACACCGCCAGTACCGCCACCATCCGCGCTACAGCCCGCAGCGCAACCGCGCGCGCAACCTCAAGCGCCCCTTCCGCATTCCCCGCTTCCGCAGCAGCAGCAGCACCCGCTCCGCGCCCGGCGCCGCCGGCACCGGACTGATCATCTTCCTGCTCGTGTGTATGAGCATGCTGTGTCTCGTGTGAATGAGCATTTCCGTTCTCGTCGTCGCTCAGGCGCTGCTGGCCTGACGGAGCGTTTTCGTTTTCGAAATGGCTCCACGCGCTGCTGTCTCCGTCCCACGCCCATGGCATCACGTCCGGAAACGGGTACTCGGAGTACTGCCCCATCGCAGGTCCCTGGCCGTTGACTTGGCCATTGACTTGGCCGTTACTTTGGCCGTTGGCTCTGCCGTTAACTTGGCCGTTGACCTGGCCGTTAACCTTGCCGTTAACTTGGCCGTTCACCTGGCCGTTAACTTGGCCGTTAACCTGGCCATTGACCTGGCCGTTGACCTTCCCGTTCACCTGACCATTCACTTTCTCGTTCGCGTAGCCATTCACCTGGCCGTTTACTTTCCCGTTCGCATGGCCGTTCACCTGACCATTTACTTTCCCATTCGCATGGCCGTTCACCTGGCCGCTCACGTTTCCAGCTTTCTGACCGTTCTGCCAGCCGTTTTCACTGCGATAAGTCTGACTGTTGACATGGCCCTTAGGACTGCCGTTTATCATCCCGTACCCCGTCTGATCCGTCCGATCGCCCACCAATCGACGGCTGCCAGGCAGCGGGAGGGCCTCCTCCCGTCGCGGCTTGCAATTGGCGCGAGCCTGCTCGGATTCCTCCAATTCCCACGTGGAGCCTCCCGTGCCGCCCCTCCCGTGTCCCTTATCGTCGCCCAGAGCCCAATCGCGCGGGCTGCTGCCGTCTGCCGTCTCACACACCACCGAGCCCTTCCCGCTCCTGCTGCCTCTCCAGGCCTTGGCGAGATTTCCGCCATTCTTGATGCGCCTGCTGGTCCTGGGCTTGCCGCGGATTCTGCCGTTGCTTCCGAGCCTAGAGTGACCACCGTTGTTTCCGAGCCTTGTGTAGCTGGCATGCGTCGAAACTAAGGTTCTTGGTTTGTTAGTGACGACGGGAAAGCCGAACCTAGATGAGCCAAGACTACCTGAAGATTTATTCTGAAGACCAGAGAGGTGAGGAAAATATGAGCTAGCCTTAGGAATCAGAACTTGATAGCGGCGATCAAGACCTGAAGGAAGCTGATAAGCTACAGTGTATCCGCCGTATAAAGAAGGCGAACGAGATGCGACGCTGGGATTTATGTTAAGGGCTAGTTTAGAAGAGGCGTATTGACGAGTATCCGTTGGAGTCCCGGGTATGCCGGAAAATACTGACGGGTTGCCTTTTCCATGCCTCACTGCTGGTGCTAAACCGTAAGTCGTTGCTGGTGAGTGCCATGACGCGGTGTAAGACACCATATGCGAGACTGAATTCGACTGTAACGAGAACGGACCGACCCCGCCGCTGAATTGCTCTCGCTACGATCAGTCGTTTCTTACCACTCTTTCGTAGTGGGAAGTGGACGAAACGCTTGGGTTACGTATCTCGAAAAACGGCTCAGTAGGAGTAACGGAAACGACGACAATTATGGCCTTAAGTATTTTAAAGGTTCGCTACCCCTCCGCGAAGCACGAAACGTGGATGTATAGGACAGCAGCAATGATCGTCTCGATAGCCATACTTTTGCAACTGGAATATAGAGCTCGAACAGCAATCAAGGCTCCACGAGAATAGCGGAGTCAACAGCAGCTAAATTAGTGAGGAAGCTGGAGAAGGCAAAGCGGAGAACAAAACTTCAATGAGAATCCGAATGACAAAGATAGCTTGCCTGCTTGCAATTCAAAGAGGTGGTGATGGTGGTGTGAGAGAGTGATGGAGGCACAAAGTGAGAGAGGTAAGGCGAGGTGGAAAAGGCGTGAGAACTTCAAGGGCGAAGTAGCCGTTAGTCCTTGGTGACGCCTTGCCGAACCTTGGTTTCCTGAGCACGGCTTTGATTGCGGTGCCGAGCCGAGACGTTGACAGCGAGAAGGCCTGGGCCGAACCATGGTTGACTTTGGTTGGTGACAGGAGGACTTGCCGTCGTGTCACACATGGCGGGGAAGTGTCTCATCTGTCACATCAAGGGACACCCGATCACGTATGATTGAGCTCGTAACTGTACCATTTGAGCTCGAATTGTGTGGAGGGGAAATCTTCGTTCGCGTCGCGTCGAGTCGCGAAGCCTTTCGCGCAGCCCCCCGATCAGCAACATCCAGTGTGCTACAGTTACAGCGGCACACCTGGCGGTTTGGGTGGAAGGCCTGGGTTTGAGGTTCGGGATTCTGAAACAGCATGGTGGTTGGTGAAGTGCGCATGGTAAAGTACGCTTGCCGTGCGTCAGAAGCTGGTTTTTCGTCGTCATGGCACGCGGCGAACCGAACCGAAGCTCCTCTATCCACACAAGCAGATTCAGGTAGCTTCGACATAGCAACTTCAGCAGAACTGTTTGTATCTATTTGTACAGTGTTTATGTCACTGTACAGTATTTCCAGACAAGCATCACTTTCTCCCCATCTCACACACTGCAAAATTGCTGTGCACAATAGCAAACAGCCATAAAAGACTTATGCATTCTACCTAAAGAGTCTCAAGATAATTAACCTCTATATGAAAAAATAACACATGACAAAATTAAACACACACAAGCAAGCAAGATCGCTACACAACACATCAGATTACAACATCCCTTTATTGCATGCCCTGCAAAGTAACTCTGCTGCTGTCTCTCTGTGCTCTGAGATTGCAGTGAAGGATGTCAATGTCATGATTGCTAGGTTCACCACCACGGCATGGCATGGCAGAGGTGCCCAGAGTCTAGCAGCCCTTACTGCAGCTGCAACCAGTGTCGTGGCTGCTTTTGTTTCCGTCTCCAGCAACAGCAGCCATAGCCCAGCCCAGTCTGTGTTCCACTATCATTGCCACGGCTGTCCCAATTCCCGCAGCCCTTGCTGTTGCTGATGCCGCGGCACCACGAACCACAGATGTTCCCACGGCCGTTGCCGTTGCCGTCGCTGCCGCGGTAACCACAACGACAAACAGCTGCAGTAATGGCAGCGTAACGGCAGCAGTACTACAGTTACAGCTGCAGTAACGACAAACCACAACCCCCCATTGGGGAAACCCCTATCATCCACCCATCCCGTGTTTCCCACCCGTACCCTGTTCCCACCCATCCCATCCCATGCTTCCATCCCATCCCATGTTTCCCACCCATCCCATGGTTCCCTCCCAGCCCATGGTTCCCACCCATCCCATGTTTCCCACCCATAACATGCTTCCTGCCCATACCATGCTCCCTAACCACTACCCACCACACCATGTTTCCCAGCATGCAGGGCAGAGCAGGGGGTTAATGGAGGAAAACAGCAGGGCAGGGGGGGTAAGGGACGAAAAGTGCAGGGCAGGGGGGGTGGGGAGCATTGGGCAGGGGCGTTATCCCTACTGCTCCATCCATCTCCATCCATCTCCACCCATCTCCACCCATCTCCACCCATATCCACCCATCCCCACCAATACTCCACCCTACAGTACTTTCTCTATTAAAACCTGGGGCTGAATTGGCCTGGAAAACCCAGCCAAATAGAACCGAACCACTCAGAACCACAGAGGACGTGTTCAAGAGCATCTTGTGGCAGGAGCTGGATTTTGAGACGAGCCATGGCCGGTTGTGAGCACTGCTGCTAAGGACCTGGTCAGGAGGATGCTGACGAGGAAAATCGACCAGCGAATCACAGTATCGGAAATACTGAGTGAGTCGGGGGTTGCTTGAAGGGGGGTGACTTTCTGGGTTGTTGTGGGAAGAGTGACTGTGGGTGAGAGGGGAGAGGGAGAGGTGGTGGAGGAGGGAGGGGAGGGTGGGGAGGAGGTAGGGGTACCACGGGGGGAACGACGTGTTCAAGAGCATCCTGTGGCAGGAGCTGGATTTTGAGACGAGCCATGGCCGGTTGTGAGCACTGCTGCTAAGGACCTGGTGCGCCGCATGCTCACCCGCAAGTTCGACCGGCGGATCACTGTGGCTGAGATACTGAGTAAGTCGGTGTTGGGGGTGGGTGGGTGGGGTGGGGAGGGGTGGGGTGGGGTGGGGTGCGGTGGAGATGGGTGGAGATGGATGGAGATGGATGGAGCAGTAGGGATAACGGAATCAGGAAGAACTAGGGGCTTGAGTTCGCGGTGCAAAACCTTGGCGCTGTGCTGTAGAGGAAGAATCAGGATACTTGAGACCGCGGAGTAGCTGGAAGAGGAAGTAATGTAGGGGGGAATGGGTGGGGCAGGGGAAGGTGAAGCAAAACCTTGGCGCTGTGCACATACTTGAGACCGCGGAGTAGCTGGAAGAGGAAGTACTGTAGGGAGTTGGTGAGGTGGGGATGGGATGGGTGGCGGATGTGGGGTTGATGCAGGGCAGAGGAGAAGAGAGTATGAGAGGTGAAGCACCTTGGCGCTGTGCACGTACCTGAGACCGCGGAGTAGCTGGTACCGCGGAGACCGCGGAATAGCTGGAAGAGGAAGTACTGTAGGGGGGAATGGGTGGGGCAGGGGAAGGTGGGGCAGGTGGGGATGCAACGGGATGGAATAGTGGAGGAGGGTGTGAGAGGTGAGGCACCTTGGCGCTGTGCACGTACTTGAGTCCCCTCAGTAGCTGGTAGAGCAGGGCAGGGGGGGTTAGGGAGGGAAGTAGCAGGGCAGGGGGGGTTAGGGAGGGAAATAGCAGGGCAGGGGGGGTTAGGGACGAAAAGTGCAGGGCAGGGGGGGTTAGGGAGGAAAGGAAACAGCAGGGCAGAGAAGAAGCCATTGGCAGCAATTGGGGAGAAGCCATCTTTCTGCCATCCATCTATTAGCGGCGCAGCTACCGTGTGGAGTCAACTCATCATACGCAACTTTCACTTGCGGATTGAGCGCACACCAGATGAGATATACACTGTTATGCCCTGCAGACTGCTGTGTTGGTTGAGCGCAAAAATCACGGAACGAAATCATTGTGCTGCGATGCATGAACTCTTCAATATATGCACGAGGAGAACATCACATGGTGGGACACCAGACGCAACCACAAGCAGTCAGAACACCTTTCCTTGTCAAGTGAAGCGGTTAGCGCGTGCATTGCTGACCCTGCTGGCACGACTGGCACGACTAGCTGTGCTGCTGTTGCTGTTTCCATTCTCGTTGCCATTGCCACTACTGTTGTTGTTACTGCAGCAGCAGCCACAGTCATTCCCGTTGCCATTTCCGTTTCTGTTGCCATTACTGCAGCAGCAGCAGCAGCCATTGCCGTTGCCGTTGCCGTCGCCATTTCCGTTGCCATTTCCGTTGCCATTGCCGTTGCCGTTCCCATTGCCGTTGCCGTTACCGTTGCCGTTACCGTTGCCGTTGCAGCAGCAGCCATTGCCGTTGCTGTTCCCATTGCCGTTCCCATTTCCGTTGCCATTTCCGTTGCCCTCGCCGTCGCCGTTTCCGTTGCCGTTACCGTTACCGCAGCAACAGCAGCAGCAGCCATTGCCATTGCTGTTGCCGTTGCCGTTCCCATTGCCGTTGCCGTTGCCATTACCGTTGCCGTTGCAGCAGCAGCCATTGCCGTTCCCATTACCGTTGCCGTTACCGTTACCGTTCCCGTTGCCATTTCCGTTGCCCTCGCCGTTTCCGTTGCCGTTGCAGCAGCAGCCATTGCCGTTGCCGTTCCCATTGCCGTTCCCATTTCCGTTGCCATTTCCGTTGCCCTCGCCGTCGCCGTTTCCGTTGCCGTTACCGTTACCGCAGCAACAGCAGCAGCAGCCATTGCCATTGCTGTTGCCGTTGCCGTTCCCATTGCCGTTGCCGTTGCCATTACCGATGCCGTTGCAGCAGCAGCCATTGCCGTTCCCATTACCGTTGCCGTTACCGTTACCGTTCCCGTTGCCATTTCCGTTGCCCTCGCCGTTTCCGTTGCCGTTGCAGCAGCAGCCATTGCCGTTGCCGTTCCCATTGCCGTTCCCGTTTCCGTTGCCCTCGCCGTCGCCATTTCCGTTGCCGTTACCGTTACCGCAGCAGCAGCAGCAGCAGCCATTGCCATTGCCATCACCGTTCCCATTGCCGTTGCCGTCGCCATTTCCGTTGCCATTTCCGTTGCCGTTACCATTGCCGTTGCCGTTGCCGTTCCCATTGCCGTTACCGTTGCCATTGCAGCAGCAGCCATTGCCGTTCCCGTTACAGTTGCCGTTACCGTTACCGTTCCCGTTGCCATTTCCGTTGCCCTCGCCGTTTCCGTTGCCGTTGCAGCAGCAGCCATTGCCGTTGCCGTTCCCATTGCCGTTCCCATTTCCGTTGCCCTCGCCGTCGCTGTTTTCGTTGCCGTTACCGTTACCGCAGCAGCAGCAGCAGCAGCCATTGCCATCACCGTTCCCATTGC